ATCCCTAATCTCACCACTATTCATCTAACTCTACTTAGTAAATTAAGACTTTATTTTTTTCGGATTACAGCTTGATTCCACACCGTATTTTTGGTACAGGTATGGAATTTTCAGCGTGTGATATCGGTATCCCAAATTTTGCAGGCCGATCATGGATGTCGAGTGATCGACGAGAGTCCTAACCGCTGTGCCACCGACGCTCCAGTACTCAGAATTCTTGTTCCTTTTACCTTTCAAAACGTTTTAAATGTTACCAATGCAGCACTCGTTTATTCAACTCACTGATTTTCTCTTCCGTGTAATCTTCACCAATTCGGGTCAGTATAATTATTTCCAGAAACAATTATATTAGCAACCGTACATCTTAATATTTTAAATATATACTTTCATTATTAGTATAATACGCTACTATTTTTGTGGTGAAATGACTATCTTCAGTCAACAGTTACATGTTTTCATATAATTCATAATGTTATAATGTCATAAAATTCACGATGTTAAAGCTGTGTAGTATGTTTTCCATAGTCCAAGTTGACGAGTCACTTTGCACTGTATAACGCACAGCATACAAAAATTGGCCATAAAAATTTAGCATAACAAGTTCTGCTAACCACTTGTTTTTCTGAGGACCACTCTATATAACTCTATCATTAATCGTTCCCCTATTATACACCATTTTATCTTAACTCCTCAGACCTCAAATGAAGTCAAAAGTTACTCCTTTCATTCACATTCTTTGCTCACCTCAAGTCTGGTTGTTTGGATGAGAAAACATAACAACAACACCAGTTTGAGGATAACCATGTTATTATGGAAAATGTCACAGTTTTCCGTGGTAAAACCAATATGACTAGCATTGGATATTGCAAATGTGTACTACTGTAACAACATAAGACAAGGGACATGCAACAGATCGTTTATTAAGCAAATCAACACATATTTATAGATTTTCATGTACATACCATAGATTACTGTTAGCAAAAAAAGCAGTCTTCTGGTTGGTTGTTTCTCACGGAAAGTTAACCTTGCATCTCTTTGTGGCTGTTTCGTGAATATCAGATCATCTATATGTATCAAGGAACTTATCCCTAAGCTCCTATTGTTACTAAGACGCTCCAAACCGATAAATACTATGCACTTTATTTGACTTTAACTCCAAAACACCAGTATCGTTAGAAGGAAGTCATATCGTTTGGCAATTAAGGTCTACAAACAAATGTTTTATACAAATGTATTGTGTACCTTTATTCGCTTTTGTTCATCTTCACCGAAATCGTACACGATCGAACCATTCGCGCCTTCGAGTCACCCACCAATGGCTACCAGTTAAAAACCAAATGTTCAATGTTCACCTCCATTGATAATATGTTAAATATATCCGCCTACACAAAGCATTTGTTTTCATTTTTCTCACGACCAATATTGCGGACGTGAACACTGATGTAAATTACTGTCCACCAATTTTCACAAACAGCTAGCTGACACCGCATTACCGTTTCCAGTGCTGTAAAGCTCCTTTTTGTATTTATCATGTAAACGCACCTCCAATGATGTTGTCAACCAACCCTCAGAAAATGCCAATATCCAGCTCTTACTACTCTGCACCTCACGCTGTTACTGGAAGACTTTCAGAAACAATGTGTAATAACCAGCGCGAAAAATCCAAAACACAGATTGGCGACTCGAGAATCCTTTATTCTTACGCGAATATGTAACCAACAATTAGGTTATTACACACAAGTTCTAAGAATAAATGCTATAACAATAAATCACAATAATACTTCTGATAGTTTTCTGTCTTCCACTGAACAGCGAACGATGAGACGATGACTGATAGGTTGATGACTCCTGCGAAAAATATAGAGGAGTTGGGTTTGAGCAAACAACCGTGAAATGATCATTCAATCTTCAACTACATTAACAGATGTATTTTGCATAATTGCATTTGCAGCTTCTCAGGACATTCTTCTCTTCCCGAAATAGTGTTTAATCACCTGAGCGCAAAGCACTCATCCAGATGTATGTTATTATCGTCTGGCAATAACTATCATAAGGAAATGGAACGAAGTTTGTGTTGTCGCTCAACTGTTATGGTTACCTTAGTGAAGGGTATACAATTTACCATTTATAAGAACCTTTTCTGATTGCTTCTACCATAATTCAACAATTTAGACTTTGTAGGAGCATCAGGAGAACCCGAAATTATCAAAGAACCTCTTGCCTTTACTATTAAGCATGGAGACGTGACATTGATTGATCAAACCATCATGCGGCCTAAAGTTACCAACCCTTCAGAGGAGGACAAATATCCAAAGACTAAACCTCAGCAATGCAAGACGGCTGAGAGGAAAAACAGGAGAATTCGAAAACGTCCAATCACACATACACCTAATAAAAGCAATCCTGACTGAAACCTGGCTAACCCCCCATCACCGACAACGAAATCAGTATGAGTGATACGCTTCTTGTCAGGAGTAACAGGGATAACAAGGAAAGGGGAGGGTTGCCAAACACTTTGACTAGCGAATTAAATGCATATGTGCAACGGACCCGCCACTTACTGAACTCCCAGACTCAGTATGGTTTCATTTCGCCGTAGGCCACATCAAGCGTTTACTCGGTGGCATCTACCGATCACCCACCTGTGGAACAGAGCACAAACAGCTACTGTCCAGCACCATCACAGGGATACAGGATTTGGGCTATGGTCTAATAACCATAGATGGAGATTTCAACTCCCTCTCAATGAACCATGGCTCGGGGTATGCTCAGGGCAAATTCTGTCGAAATCTACTGCAAACAATCCGAAACACAGGACTTACTGAGATTGTTGGAGACAACAATAGGTGGGGCCTTAATAGAAAGCCATCGATAGGAGTAAATATATTATTGTTAAATGATGTTCTAACTAGTGACCAACCAGTCATCGAAAAGATGCAGATGATGACCACTCTGGGTAGTAGTGACCATGTAGTTAAAGGATTCTATCTTGTTTTCCGTGAGCACTTACAGTAGGATGCTACGCGGCCATGCCCTTGCTATAACAAGGCGGAATATACTGGAATGCAAAGGCTTTTGTCCGTCACAGAATGTCCAATAGAATGGTCTGGGTTACTTGTGGATGAGCACTGGGAAGTGGTTAAAGAGATTACCCACACAGCAATTGCGGATACCGTCCCTCTGGGCACAACACAGCAGAAAAAATTGCCCACCGCTGCAGAGAAGTACGCAACGCATTCTGCAAGCAGAGTGAAAGGCTTGGAACACGTGGTGAATATGCAAGAGACAGACCGACCACGACGCATACCGGAAACTCAGGAACCGGTGCAATGTGAGAGCTAGAATTGATTGGTGGTCATTCCAGGCTAATCCTGCTAAAAATCTCCTGGAGAACCTCAAAAGCTTGCATCGTTCATGTCGGAAAGACACCAACCGACCAAGAGGCAATGCGTCTTAGCAGGTTCAAACGGTGAGTACCTCACTAGTCTACGGATGGCTGGAACATTCAGTTTAGCCTTCGCCAAACAGTTAAACAGCAATGTGGGTATTACTGGTACCAATCAAAATGGCGACACTACTATTTTCACCGGATGAAGACCTGGTGGCTAATCCCCAAACAAACCCGTCAATAGTACTAAAGAAGCTACATAGATTCAAATCTGGAAGGTTCCCTGGTTGTGACGACATCACGCCATCTGCTCTGAAACAGCGTGCCAAAGCGCTCTATAGGACTTTGTGCGACGTGTCACAATATTCGAAGGATTCCGAGAATCTGCCATGGCTGTGGAGAAGAGCCATCACTTCTCCGACCTTCAAGGGTGGGGACAGTTAAAATACCACCGGTTATGGGCCAGTGGCTTTGCTCTCAGTGGTATCAAAAGTACTGGAAAGCACTATTGCTGATCACATCAGAGAGCACCACGATAGGACTAAGAGACTCCAGGGATCCCATCACGGTCTCAGGAGATGTAAATCGTCTATTACTAACCTACTATCAGCTAGGGACGATTGGGCATCATGTTGGGATGTGAATGCTACATTTAACGAGTCTTTCTAGATTCTAATAATAATAATAATAACAATATATATTCTCATTTTTTACATGAGGGACGCCAGTTTACAGGCATCATCAATTCTATAATTTACACATAATATTAATAAGCATATTTAGTAAAGACAATATAATAAAGTACATTTTTTTCCCTAGCTATGTAGGGTACACCAACGGGCAAGAAAAGGGGTGGTTGGTCTACGAAATAAACCATATGATGAAAGGCTGAAGAAATTAGGCCTGTTCACACTTAGCTACCGTCGGCTTGGGGGGATTTGATTACTGCCTACAAAATAACAAATGACCAGAATCACCCAAACAAAGGTGTTCTACCATTGAGTAGGTATAGGCTCCCACGTGAAAATCCCAGAAGGATAGCTCACCGGAGGGCAAGGGCGCGGGTGCGCTCTAACTTATTTTCACTGGGGGTTTGCCATCCTTGGAATTCTTTACCGGCGGATGTAGCTATGGCACCATCTTTGGACGCCCTTAAGAGAAGGCTGGACAACCATGCAGCGACACAAGGACGTCGTCAAAAATCCCATACATCAAACAGTGATAGACGACTAAGTTCATTGTTTTACTTCTTTATATTCTCTCCAGTTTCTCTTCACTAATTATATCTATTATAATCTCTTTTCTCTTTGAAGACGATACCGGAGGATTAACTGGTGAAACAATCAACTCCATTCACAGTAATAATGGTCTTAACACACTGCATACTGCAAGAAACATATGATTAATCCGAGTACTACTCCTTCGGGACTCAGCCAAAGCTACTACAGTCGAGTGTTGGGATAAAATACGCAGAAGTTTACCGAAGATCGTAATCTTTACCTCACAATCAAGAAGCTAGCACAAAGAAATCAAAATGATTCATACCAGCTCGTAAAAATAATATTGGAAATTGAAAGATAGACAAGACATGGGAGTTATTTTGCTGCTTTGGGTCGACCAAGGGCCTAGATTCTATCCTGATCAGCAGTGTGTCGAACAGTGAATATTTATGTTACTTGAACAAGTCATTCTCAAATATGTTTCATTGGATACTATAGAATTACTTTAAACTATTATACATCAAGGTTAGTTAAGTTAATCGACACCAAAAGTAATCGGCGCCATGGATGAAATAATAACAAAGTGGAAAGACCTCTCTGATGCTAAGAAATACAGAGAGGCTTATAATATTGTTACAACTGCAATACAGAAGGGCATGCAACATTCCGACCTCTATTGGCGTAAGGCCTGCAGCTGCAGAGACTTAGGTAATTACATTAATAATTTGATGAATGATTCCTCAGCAAATTCACTTGGGAAGAGTGACAAAAATATGTATAAACACTACGTGCACGAAGGTCTTGCAGCTTGTGAATCAGGACTTAGGTTGAATTCAGAATGTCCAAAGTGCAACTCTGTAAGTCATGTTGCGAATCACTCAATTCAAAATAATTTTATTCTGACAGTGGTACGCAGTATTTCTCAATTACACATCCCAGCTTGAAGGGATGAATAAGCGCATAGAAAACTCATTCAAAATGAAAGAGTATTGGCTGGTGAGGTTAATTTTACTTCAAATATTTGTAGAAAGCACATAAATTGGACCCTACAGACTACGGAACATTACATGCTTTAGGAAGATGGTGAGAATGTTTTAGTTTTCAGCAACACTTAACAGGTGTTTCGAAGTAGCGGATCTTTCGTGGTTGAAGCGAAAATTTGCTGCAACCCTTTTTAGTACACCCCCAACATCTACATACGATGAGGTACGTCGTGATTTTAAAAGTCTCACCAACAAATTAGGCCTTAAAGTATCTAACTGAGTCAGAAAAAAGTAATTCACTTTCGCTGCACTTTAAATGTTTGTTGTAGTAGCTCCAGGTGCTCTTGTGAACAATTCTCTGTATTTAGCGAAAACTTATCAAAGACTGAAAGATAATGCTCAGGCAAAACAGTATTGCTTGAAAGTCCTAAGCTTTCCAGGAGACGATTTGGAAACTGAAGAGGTAATCCAGTGTTGGTTAATATAATCCTCACATATTTAGGCGAAAACTGAGGCTTCTGAACTACTGAAGAAATTATAGAGTTTTATGATATCGTCGAAACCTAAGTTATCAGACATTTTAATGTGAACTTTCTACAAGTTTTATTAAAGCTAAAATTTCAATTCGCTTTTTTCCGTTTTTATTTCTACTTACTGTTTTCGCAGTAATGGTGTTTAGTTTCTGTTTTTCAAGTGTATTTCGTTTTATCAAACCATTATTTGTCTACCGGTATTATATTGTAGGATTTTGTCTTGTGTGAAGGGTTACGCGAAATTTTCAGTTTTGACATTCAAATTTTAGGTACTCTTACAATGTGAAATTTCCACAAAGATTAGAAAGTATTTATATTACATACGGTAAGAATGAGTTCCAAACTAAAAGAAACAGCTCATTTGATAATTCATTTTATGGACTGATATATTTCATTTCACTAAATTTAGCTCACATAAGACAAAATCCACAGCTTGTCAATGAGCAAGGGAACTTTGTGACTTTTAGCAGTCAGAATATCTAGTCGATAAGTTATTTTTTAGTGTATAGAATAGCCACATAGTTTGATGTTTCGAACTTAGACATGATTTGTCAGTTAACAACGAAGGTGGTTATGTCCACTTGCATTACTTTTCCTGTAATACATCTGTCTGAATGTCTACAAAATTTATTTGTATTAGTTTAGGCTATTTAGTTTAGATTACAGTGTACTGAAATCATTACTCGAGTACATGTGTAGATGAATAAAGCTAATAATACTTATACGAGTTACAGACTAGTTGCGTTTTGTAAATTTACTGCGAGTTACTTGCTTTCAGTTGAAACTAAACTACACATTACGTTGTTTCCTAGTCTCCTTGTTCGCCAGTATATATTTGTTGATTAAAAGTTGAATCACTTGCTATATACCATCATTCTATACCACTTATATACTACAGTATCTAAGCATTAATGTTCGTATTCAGATATGCATTATGAATATTCCTGTCTTTTATAGTGAATGTATGAGGATTGCTTATCTCGCCATTGCATTGAATTTTCCTCCTGTAATTATTACTAGTGTCTGTCGAACCGTCCTGCAGTTGCCTTGCACTTTCAGTTCCCAATTTTTATCACTAGACTTCCCGTCTCAAACAGCTATTTTCATCAATATTAGAAGCCATCGCTTATCGATTGTTTTCAATGTATTGTAAATTGTAAGATATTCCTGAATATCTGTTTTTAGTATCCAAACTGTTTGAATGAAAGTTGAGTGCATTATGATTTCACATTGCTGATTAGTAGTGAAAATGATCAAGCTTGAGTTATGTAGCAATCAAAACCATTGTGTTACGCTTTAGTCGCGTATTAGAGCAAATGTACATTTTGATGCTACCATTTTATTTTAGTGTCTAGAAGTATTTTATGAATGGCTTAATAAATAGATGAGGATTCACGACTCCAGAAGTTTGAATATGTTATACAGTTTCTGACAGACGTAATGAAGATATACAGTCGAATATAAGCAACAGAAAATTAGGTGCAATGATCATAATACTTTCTTAGTTTCTAAAAGTGACCCCTGGATGAGTTGTTACCGCGTGCTTTACAGTATACAAACATGAATGTATATATTTTTTGCGTTTATCAGATTACTATTTCCTTAAGATATTTCGATTTTGAGAAACGGGAAGATTTCTACTTTTCTTTCTTTCATTTATGTTAAAAACATGTAAAGTAGCCTGTTCATGCCGCTTGCATGTTTATGGATTATAAATTTTGATTATAGTCAATTTCTACGGATAATGTACAGTAATGTCATCTCACAAATGTAACACCTCTTTATGATTCAGAAAAGTAGAAATTTCCGCCATTCTAAAGTAAAATAGTAAATTGGTAGTTGTTAGTCTACTAGTTATTTTGAAAAGCTTTGCTCCAGGAGCTGGAAATGTACGCTGAAGAAGGAAAAACACTGAAATGAGTAGAGGTTAGTCTAAATCAAATAGGACGATGAATCAACCTTTCTTATGAGATCACTACAAGTGTATGTAAAACAACAATTGTGAATTAATTGACAAAAGCAGTACAAGCGATGACAGTGCATGAGCTGTTAAAAATTTAGTGCTTACCATTTACTGTCATGATAGCTCTTGACTAAAGACATTTGATTGTACAAATCAAAATCATTTCTGATGAGAAGCCCATACACTTTTATCCTCTGCAAAAGCGTCTGTCATTACGAGATTCGGTCTCTTTATCAATGTATTGTCACCACATTCCAATAATCTCTGGAGTTCCATAAAGCTGTTTTCTACTGTAGACGTATGCCGACTTGGATTCATTATTATTATTATTATTATTATTATTATTATTATTATTATTGTATCCCTTAGTTCCTAGAGGAACATAGGGCTTCAGCTGCGCACCTCCATTGCCTTCGGTTTTCTGACAACTTTTTCACCCTGTTCCAGGTCTGTCCACATGCTTTCATCTCCTCCTCGCATGACCTCCTCCAAGTCATTCTTGGACGACCAACTCGCCGCCTCCCTTTCAGGTTCCACTCGAGGGCTTGTCTAGTGATGTCACTTGATGGTTTCCTCAGCGTATGGCCAATCCATCACCATTTCTTTCTGCCTATTTGTTTCACAATCGGTTCCTGATTGGTTCGCTCCCAGAGATCCCTGTTGCTGATCTTTCCTGGCCATCTGATCTTGAGTATTGAGCGGAGACAGCTGTTAATGAAGGTTTGAAGTTTGTTTGAGATGCTCTTTATGACTCGCCAAGTCTCTGATCCGTATAGTAGCACTGACTTCACATTGGAGTTGAAAATCCGGATCTTATTTTTGATGCTGAGTGCTGTTGACCTCCACACAGATTTGAGAGTAATGAAAGCTTGTCTTGCTTTTCCGATTCTGGCTTTGATATCCTCGTCAGTTCCGTCTGTAGTTGAGACGATGCTTCCCAGGTAGGTGAAGGAGGCTGTTTCTTTCAGGTTCTTCCCACTTATGCTGATTGTTGTCTGTTGTTGTTGCTGTTGGTGTTGGCCAGGAATCTTCATCACCTCTGTTTTATCTATGTTCACTTAAAGTCCTATCTTTGATGCTTCTTCTGCCAACTTGTTACTTTTCACTTGCATATCTTCCAGTTTGTGGGAAATCAGACATATATCATCGGCGAAATCCAAATCCTCCAAGTCTTTTGTGTCAGTCCATTTTATGCCTGTTCCCTCGTTGGTTGCCGTTGTCTGTCGCATTATCCAATCATTTGCAATCAGGAAGATCATTGGTGATAGTAGATAGCCTTGCCTCACTCCCGTCCTCACTTCGAAGGCTTCCGTAAGTTTCCCGTTGTGGATTACTTGGCATGCAGCATTGTCGTATAACTGTTGGATGAGATGTATAATTGTCGATGGGACCCCGTAGTAGCGAAGTAGTTTCCAAATGACCTCTCGATCGACGCTGTCGAAGGCCTTTTCAAAGTCGATGAAGTTGAGGTAGAGAGGTGACTGCCATTCCAAGCTTTGTTCAATGATGATCCGTAGAGCGGCGATTTGATCAATACATGATTTGTTTCTCCTGAATCCGGCCTGTTCCGGACGAAGTTTTTCATCTAGGGCTTGTTTTATTCTCTCCAGGATGATGCGACTTAGTATCTTGACTTGAATTCATGAGCAACCTAACTCTGAATGTCTCTGGTGATCTACAATCACATGTGATGATTTTAACTGGAGGTTGGAGAATCTCATTGCTAGTTAGTCACTTCTGATTCCTCCTGGATAGAGTCTCGAGTAGTCGTCTGATTTCCCTACTAAGTGGCTCCGCAGATCCATTGTCATCATTAGGAACTTTTGATATTCCTTTTGAATAGTCCGACTGGCCTAATGACTAACCTTAATTAATTCATGAGCCATTGAATGGGGTCCCAGTGACTGAATGGTATACGAGCTTGCCTTGTAACCGGAAGGTCCTGGGTTCGAATCCCATTGGGTGCGTACTGCCGATGATTCCCAAACTAGGATGAAACAGCAGCTGTCCAGTACTCCCTGGTTTTCAATGGTTTTCTAACTGATATCAATCCGTGATCGACTCGTAAGAAAAATAATTACATTACATTATATAAATTATCGCCGACCAGACCCTACTGTTTACATGAGTCAGTGGTTAGACGGAAGGGAATTGTACTGTTTTATAGTTGAATTTTGTATTACTTTCTGCACTAAATACTAAGCTGAATTTGTGCGCAGAATGAAGGCATGACAAGGGCGATGTCTGCATTAAATTTTCTATTGTCTTGATCCCATTTCCAGAGAAAACCAAGGGCATTCAGATAGATGACAATTAAATAATGGTATCCTTCAATGTCACAGTATTATATACCTCAGTTGGATAGAAACTAGCAAAAGAGACCATGCAGCGATTACTCAGCAACGATGAACACCTCCCATAACGATCAGAAATGCAACACACAAGTTCGTTTCTATGCATAAACCTATGCCTAATAACGTATTTCCAATTCAGCTGCTAAATACATAAGCAAATTAAAGGAACATCCATGAGATCGTCCATATCAGGTTTGATCACAGAAGCAGTGACGCAAAGACTCGAAAACATAATCCTGCCAAAAGCCAAACCCAAAATTTGGATACGTTACGTAAATAAAACTCATTTGTAATAATCAAAAGAAACGAGTTGGACAAAACTCAGAACAATATATTCAACGATATCAAGTCCACAAGAGAAGGGGAATCCGAGAACGAAGTCCCATTCCTGAACGTCTTAGTCAAGCAGGTAACCACAGGGGAATTAGAATCTCATGCTTACAGAAAATCAACTCACCCTGATGAAATACTCAATTACAACAGCAACAACCCAATGACACACGAAAGGAGTCGTATACAAACACCATTCAAGAGAGTCGGGACTCATTGAAGTACTCCCACTTTAAGGAAAATGGAAGAAAAATATCTCATAGACTTCTTCTGAAAGAATGGATATCCACGGGACTTTATCAAAAGACATCTACTCCCAAGCCAACCTACCCAATCAAAGGCCCACAAGGAAAGTACAAAGTAAATCGCCCTGCCATATATAAAAGACATCTCAGAAATCACTGTAAGACTCTTCAGACCTTTAGGAATTGACTTCGCGCATAAACCAACAAAATCACTTCACTCATTTCTGTGTCAACCAAAAGACTGAACAACGAAAGAAGATAAAACCAACATCATCTACAAAATAAATTGTAACAACTGCGAAAAACACTACATTGGCCAAAGCGGATGCCCTCTTCATCTTCGTATCCATGAATATAAACTAGCCGTCAAAAGATATGGTCTTCACTCCCTCATATCGCTGTATGCAGGCAACCACGGATATTAATTCGACTGGGACAACGTTCAAATATTAGACAGAGAAAATAATACCTTGAACTTTTACACTGAATCAATAACAAACAACAGGGATCGCGGTGGTAATTTTGTATTATTATTAGAATCAAAATCTATCTGAAACAAATATAAATCCGCGATGTTATTAGTTCACATATCCCTGAGACAA